CCCTCCCTCGGGTTTTGAAGGGTGGAGGAGGTAATGGTGTCTCACCGGTAAAGTGCTTCATCGTCATATAAACGGGAATGTCCCTCGCCCGAATATAAACTACCTGCAAGAGGAGAGCTAAGCTCCCGGATAAGACCGTGATCAGATATTCCAAGGTTACGCAATTTCATCGCGAAACTGACGAGATGTGAAAGACTGGATGAAATGGTGATGTTAACGACTGCTGCCCTTTGTAACGTGGGTATAAATGTTGTTGACTCACAAACTAGGCGCATGAACCCTGCCATCCACAAAGACCGCTCGGTATATATGCGGATGTGAAACAGGTGCAAAAATAGATGACTGAAAATATACGAGTTCAGCATCTTCTATGCATGTCAGATTCGCGGCAACTTATCTGTAAGTACATACCTCTAATGACACAAGTTGATCATCTATGCTTCCCACATATACGATCCTCACCCCGAAGTCAAGAGCAGTTTCAAGTGCTGACATGTAATCTTGTGAAACTTTGCTGTCCGGATTCGCGAAGTCGAATAATTCACCGGCTGATCCACTGATCCAGCGGGATCGATAATCGGGAAATGGTCCTAGATTGACACCCGCCATGGCGCATATGCCAATTCGTGCAGAGCTCACACAGCCAAAAGCTATCAGTTTCGCCACTAACATGACCGCGACTGGGACACCCTGGCTATGGCATGCTACCAAAATAAAATCGGCCTTCTTGATATATTCGATATAATTGAGGAGTAATTTCCAAAGTAAATCTACACGTTCGGAAATTCGCCCTTCGCCCTCGAGGGATATTTTCTGGATTTCACATGCAAAACCATGTGACTCTGTCCATGAATGAATAGCCTTCGCCGCCATGGTCGAAAATTTGACGGATGTGCCTGTTGGCTGCCCAAGAACAGTACGAATAAGCGGTGCCGGGAAGAATCCATGCACTCCGATCGCAAGCGCTTGTTTAACGCGCGGTGCGTAATTTGTCAGCTTTACATGTCGAGGTTCGGTATTGTTGCAATAGAATAGGAAACTACCAAGTTGCCGAACAATACTGGCCCGCTCCTGCACGGGGAAGTTATCCCTTAATGCGGGAAGCACTTGATTAGGAAATGTTATCTTCGTTGCGGAAGATTTTTCCTTCGAAGGGGCAATTGGCTTTTTAGTGCTTGGTTTAGCTTGCCGATCGGATAATACTGCATCAGTTGGAGTCTGTTTCGGTTTGGTTTCCGTCGCTACAGCGCTTGGTTCGTATTCTGATACCCTGATCGATGCGGACGCCTGATCTTCGGATGGGGGATTAGTTGTGTCTTCGGTTGGTTCAGGCCGTTCTGCGCTTGTTGTAGCATGCTTTATCTGTGTATCTCTGGACCAAAAAAACCAACTAGATGGCTTTGCTGTATCTGAAGGGGCCGCCTTCAAATCAACATTCTCGTCCGATGGTGGCTCCATGTTGCTCTCCATCTGCGAGTCTGTAGCGCTAGGCTTTGCAATGGAGGATTTGTTGCGCGCGCCCGGTTCGCTTACGTCCTCTCCACCTTTTTTCACGGGCCCCTCATTCTGCCTATTTTCTACTTGTTGCGAAGGAGTGGGATAGCCTCCCCACACTTGCAACCAACCTCTTTTTTTAGGAGCTGGGACCTCAAGAGCAGTAGATTTTGGATCAACTGCAGCTGCGAGTCGTTCGGCATTACTTGACTCAGTTTCTTCTTGAGGAGCGTGGGGTAACGGCTCCTCTTTGTTCAACTCTTCGGCCACTACACCAACTTTCGCCGATTGCTCTGTGTGCTCTATTTTTGCTGTGGATTGGCCGCCAATTTTTGGGAGAGGAATCCAGCCAATCCAGCCTGATGTCTGACTGGGGTGGGCCTGTTGATTTTCCTTTCCCTCTTGATTACTATCCGGAACGGTGTCCTGGGCCACCATGCCACCGAGTTCCTTAGTAACTTGGTCCTTTTGAGCCTCTGTTGAAACAGTCGTCAATACGGGCGCTGAGCCATCTGAGGTATTATGTTGTATGTCACATCCAACACCTTTGCCGGATATTAACGTATCGGAAACCGAAGGGGACCTAATTGATGCAATATTAATCCGGGTAGTAGCTACTTCCGCCGGCAGCGACCTTGTCGATCCTCCGATCTTCTTCGTCAATCCAATAGAGGGGGGCCTAGCAGGTTGATTTCTGTTAGGAGGCGTTGAAGTTGACAAGTTCCGTTCCGTTGTCAAAATTGTTTCGGCAGCAATGCTCTCTCGCGCAACTTCAGCGACCGCAGGTGCCTTGGGTTTGCGCGGCCAGGTTCGAGTATACCAGCTCTAATCCAGTGCTTCAAGTTAAAACAGAGCTTCCTAAACGTTCAATTAAACACTGGAATTCTTACCGTTCTATTATCATTTTGATTATCGAGTGCTCTCGTCTCTGCGGAAGTGTTCGAATCCACGCCACCAGCCTTAGACGTAGGTACTATCTCAGAGTCTTCGTTTGCATTCACCCACTTTCGTGGTCCCGCGGGCGCCATAGATAGTAGAGTGAAATCATAACACAGAAAGTAGTTAATATGTTGGGTACTAATATTGTAGCCAGTCCAGTGTCGGAAAGAAGATAAGAGGTAGTTGTACTGTATCAGGCGGAGCTTGGCGCAGAGTGACGAATGATGTAATACTTGTCATGTGATTCTGTCATGGCTGTGGCTGGTGAAAATATATCTTGGCACGCACCGCCTCATCTGCAAAGGAAAAAAAAAAAAAAAAAAATGCAATAGAATGAATGCAGTGCGGAGTTACAACAGGCAGTCGGAACATAGCGCAACGGCAGATTTACCCAGCATTGCTGGCTCAGGAGGATGCGCGTTCGTGACTGTCGTTCAATTCTCGCAGTCTAACTTTAGTTGATTCACCTAGTAAAGATCAGCCATGGCTATCCAGAAGAAGGTATGCGAACGCTCTGTCGGCATTTGGGTTTTGGCCGCATTCTAACTGTGACTATCAGCATGGCAAAGGCCGCTTGGATAAATGGTATAAGTTGGCGAAAGAGAAGGGTTACCGAGCGAGAGCTGCTTTCAAGCTGATCCAGCTTAATAAAAAGTATGGGTTTTTGGAGAAGAGCAAAGTTGTAATAGACCTTTGTGCTGCACCTGGCGTAAGTCGTTGAAACTTGCTCCTCCAACCCACAGCTACTCCACACATATGCGGAATATTAATTCCCTCGGGCTTTTTAGTCGTGGTGTCAAGTTGCTGCAGAATGCATGCCTTCACAGTCGCTAATTATCGGCGTCGACCTTGCTCCCATCAAACCCATTCCGAAAGTCATTACCTTCCAGAGCGACATTACCACAGACAAATGTCGGGCTACGATACGACAGCATCTTAAATCCTGGAAGGCTGATACTGTTCTCCATGATGGTGCGCCAAACGTTGGTGTAGCATGGGTTCAAGATGCCTTCTCACAAGCGGAGCTAGTTCTCCAGTCTCTAAAGCTAGCGACCGAATTTCTGGTTCCAGGGGGAACATTCGTTACCAAAGTCTTCCGGTCAAAAGATTACAACCCGTTATTGTGGGTATTTAAGCAACTTTTCAACACCGTGGAAGCTACAAAACCCCCTTCGTCACGAAACGTCTCTGCCGAAATTTTCGTTGTGTGCCAAGGCTTCAAGGCTCCCAAACATATCGTCCCGAAAGTCCTTGACCCTAAGCATGTTTTCGCCGA